ATTTAAATTTTTTTTTAAATATTAAATAAAAATATACTTTAACTAAAATAATGAATTACTTTACAATCTATTGATTATATAATTATTAAATATACCACGTAAAAAGTCACAAAAATAAGTCATTGATCATATATTTTATTATATTTATCAATCCATGAATAAGATTTATCATATTCTATAACCAATAGATACCAATAGTCTTTTATAAGAAAATTTTCCCATGTCGTATAAGTAGTCCCAAATTTTATTAAATAAAATTATTGAATATAATGACAAATTAAAGATCTTGACCAAGTATAATAAATGAGACTTTGTTAATGAAGTTTTTTTATATAACAAATTTTTATATTAAATTTAAGAAATATAGTGAATTTTTTCCTTTATTACTATTAAAGGAAATGTTACATTGTAAAATTTTAATAAAGTTTAAATTAATAATTTAAATATTTGAAAAAAACTTTCATATATTTAATAAATTTCTATAGGAATTAATTAATGTTGAACCTAGGATTAATCAGTGTTGAACTGTAGTGATTAATTTGTTGATTCAATTTATTTAATTTCTATAATTCAAATTTGAAATTGCGAAAATTTCAATTGCGAAACTGCGAAAACTACGCAAATTTTAAAATTGCAAAAAGTTCAGTCGAAAGCTGCGTAAATTTTGAAATTGCCAAAAAATTAGATCATTTCTTTGAATTTTGCATAAACTTGGATATTTTGCCAACTCATTTCTTTAAATTTTGCATAAAAATTAGATATTTTGCCAACTCATTTCTTTGAATTTGCACTAAATTTAGATATTTTGCCAACTCATTGAATGCTAACATGTTTCGATAAAATTTTATATAAGGAAAGTTTATTGCATTTTTATTTTTTTAATTGTTCAATATTTATATTAACAATTTTTAAATCTTTTTAAATAACAAATTGCAAAAATGCCTACTACAATTGAATGGTCAGATGAGGAAATGAAACTTTTGATCAATTTAAGGAGGAAAAAAAATGAAGATTACTGGAGAAGGTTCAGAAGATTGAGGTTATTTTTTTAGAACAAGATTACAGTGACAATTCAGGAAAGATTTATAACAGCATTCAATAGATTGCAGGCGAAAGAAAAATATAAGGGGATGGTAAAAGATTGTAAAGTAAGTAAAATACTAGTAAACGAAAGAATTAATATCTTATATTACAGTCAACGACCAAAATTATGCGAACAATTTTTTTTTACCAAAATTGTGCAGATTATCATATGATCACGAGATATAAACATTACATTTTTTATTTATTTATATGATAAATATAAACATAAAATTTTTTAGCTATTTTGCTTTTAGTTAAAGCTTTATGAAATTATAAACGCACTCACACCAAAAGCCCGTGATGTTATTATTTATGGTAAAAAATGTGGACAATTAGGTCGCATTATTGCTAAAAATTTGGGGTGTAGTAAAATAGCTGTTTATAATACACTTAAACACCTTCGTCAAACTGGTTCTTTCACACCAAAAAAACAAACTGGCCACCTACTACTCCTTAATATACCATCTCAACAAGAGCTTAAAACTTTTGTTCAAGAAAATGGTGAAAATCGCCAGCTTTGTGCAAAAAAACTTTCAACTATTTGGACATCTCATTTAACAAACCCCATTTCTGCATTTACTATACGTCGTATTCTTAAAAAAGTTGGACTTAGTGCTCGTATTTCTTGTCATAAACCTGCAATAACAGAAGTACATTGTCAAATTCGTCTTGAATAGACTCGCATACATGAAAAATAGACAACAAGATAATGGAGAAAAGTGTTTTTTTCAGATGAGAGTACTTTTACACAATTTCAATAAGAACGTCAAGGAAAAGTATGGCGTGAACCAGGAGAAGAATTGAATCCTGATTGCATTTCAGTCACTGTAAAACACAGTCTAAACAAAATGTTTTGAGGTTGTTTTTCTTGGAATGGACTTGGACCAATTGTTTCTTTAAATGGTTCAGTTACTGGTAAAACATATACTGAAACTATTCAAAAATATGTTGTTCCTACTTTGCAGAAGTATTTTCCTCATGGTAATGGAATTTTCCAAGAAGATAATGCTGCATCGCATTATTCAAAAGTTGCTGCAGCTGCTCGTGAAAGTGCTGAAATTGTGATGCTTTCTTGGCTCACCCAAAGTCCAGACTTAAACCCAATCAAAAATCTTTGGGCAGAAATTAAAATGATAATTTGACGTCGTACTCCCCCACCATCTAATATCTGAGAGCTTGAAAATATGTTAAAAATGCTTAGAAAGATATTCCTCTAGAATATTATAAAAAATTAATTGAAAGCATACCGCAGAGGATCAATGCAGTTATTACCGCAAATGGAAATAGAATTAAATATTAGTATTGAGATTTTTTTTGTAAAAATCAATAAATAAAAATAAAATAAATAAAATTTACCTTTTGTTTTATTTTCACTTTATTTTATTTATATAAATTTTTTGATTTAAAAAGTGTTCGCATAATTTTGGTCGTTGACTGTATAACTGAATTTATTTGATTTTTCCTGCCAAACTCTGTTTAGAGAACTTCTGTTATTTTATGTTAGATTAATCCCATAAGTTAGGGCATGTATAGAACTTCTTTATATTATACAAGATTGGCTATTGGTTTGATAAAAGTATATGTTGGGTTATTTGCAGGATAGGGTACTTTGCCTACCTATTTACTCATTAAAGATAGGTTTATAAGTGATCTTTTTGGATTTCTTCCAACTGAATATTCTTCAAAACAGATATTCTTCTGAATGTCTTATCGCTCAACCTCGCCAGGTTCTTTCTCTCTGTAAGTTTGAATTAATAGGCCTAGTCTAGCTTCAAAATCCTTTTCTGGTTGAGAAACTTTGGTTTTCTTTTGTTTTTTACTAGAGGATTTTTCTATCAAATCAAACCATTCAGTATCTGTTTTAGAAAGCTTTTTGTTGGTAATAGTTGAGTTATTTTTTATCTCTGGTTTTACTAGCCAGTTAGCAAAATCCTCTATAGATAAAGGAGTAGTTTCTTTTTAATTATAAGTCAGGATTACTGATTTAGGTTTTTCCATTTAGCAGTCTCTTGCTAAGGTATGAACTATTGAAGCTAAGCTTAGTACTGGTTTAGGCTTGCATTTAAACTTTCTATTTATATATTGACAAAGTTTTTGGGGTTTAGCAAACTCATTATCACATCAGTTACAAATTCAATTACTTTTTACCATTCTGTTTTATATATATTATCTTACAAACTTTTTTTTTTAAATAATTATTTACCTTGATATAGATTAATTATTTGTAAGATATAATACCTTTATAAAATTTTCTCTTTAATTAATTATTTTCCTATATATAAAAAATGATTGAAGAATATTCCTATCCATATTTGTACAATACTAGCAAGACTTGTAGTAAGCTTTGCATATGTGAAGAGGGTGTCATGAGTATTGGAAAGTTAAGGTATGTATATTATGTAGTATATGTAATAAGTCTACTGGCTCATCTTCTGTGTGGTATCCACTAGGGTTCCTCAAAATCGAATCGAATCAAATATTTAAGCAATTTGAATTTGATTTGATTTTTTCAAATCGAAT